ATACTGATGTGATCTTTCGGTGTCTATGGCCGGGTACCCATTTCCACCTGGGTGAAGAGAGGAAAATTCATGTAAAGTGTCTTTCCCAAGGACACAACGTCGGGACCGCGGCTCGAACCCCCGAACCCGCAACCTCACGATTACGAGTCCGGTAGCCTAACCACACTAGGCTAAAGAAAGAAAGAAAAGACAATTGTGAGACAGCGTGGTAAAATCCGGCGTCAAAATAACGAAAGTGAAGAAACTGGGAATTTTTATCAAACTTTTGTTTTTCGGCTCAACTATATTCATACCCATTGAAGAACACATTGCTGAGCGGATTTTACGGAAAAACGTTGATTAAAGGTATAAAAGATGTAAATTTTCAGTTTCCACGGACTCTCGAGCTCAGGAAATAACAGAACTTTGATGATACCTTTAACTCCGTATGCCCAAAAATTAACGAGAGCCTGATTCCACCACGCAATAACACAATTACTGACTGACCAGATAGTCGTAGTCTCGTTCCGGCCTTGGTCCTTGACCTAGACCTTGACCTTGACCTGGGTCTGGCTGGGGAGGCGGGGGGTCATCCCAGGGGTCTTCCTCTTGTGTTGGGTCCTGTGGCGGGGGTGGTGGGGGTGGGTTGGGTTCTGAGGATGTCGTGGTCCCCATGTTGCTTCACTCTGTATCGTCCCGAGGGGGATCAGAGTCTCTTGGATCTACAAAACAACAAAAAACAATAGAAACAAATAGATACATATTTTAATCATCAATCAAATATCCGCTCCTTATTCCATACCCCCCATTTATTATTTTCCAGCTTACCACGATCGATGATCATGTGAAACATTATAATATATAGAGCCTTGATATCTGAATGAAACTTCTTTTTTCTTTTGTAAATGGCAACTTATCCTCAGTATCAGTACCGGTACAGGGTTGGCTACCTCATTTTTCTTTGCATTTTGAAAACTTTTGTACATTGGTTTTTATTTCTTTTTAATGAAACTGGTTTGTTCCTAAATGGGAAAAGTTGTCAAAGCTACTTACTAAAATCACTAAAATTTCATGATCTCTTGCTTTTTTATTCACTGAAGGAGAAATAAAACAGATTTGTTCCTACTAATACAATGGTATGAGGTTGAATGTGCCAACC